TCTTTTGTTTTGACCGCCCTAAATGTATATAAACTAAACTTTCAGAATTTTTGAATGTAAATATACATAAAACTTTTTTATATTTATATATAGATTTGCCAAAAAAATCACTCTTTGATCCTGATGTGGATTTTGCTATAGAAAAAAGTCTCCTATACAAACTGGATTATCTCAACACAATCCACAAACTTGTTTCAATAGGCATGTGCCAAAGCTGCACTGTTGCCACGGCGCCACATGCCCATGCACACTTGTCTTTTGTGATGACGCTCGTGGACTGTATTTGTTTACTGTGGTGCGCACACACACGCACACACACACACTCAGACAGGGCAGGTCCACACAGAACTGGAGAGGAGCAGAACAAGCAGGGTGCAAATTCAGCAAATGCAAATGTAGACTTAAATTGATAAAGGCAAATTTAAAATCAAAATGTGGTAGAAGTTAATGTACAAGGCTGGGAAATTATGAAAATAATGAATAGTTATGGATTATGCTATGTCAACCTAAAAATGCTTGGGTTTGAGTTTGATGAGCACGACAAAATGATTTTAAAATGTGATATCGAAGTTAAAAGTGCACTATGTAACCTTCTTATTTCTATGGAGATGTCATTGCTCTGCCTATATGTTCCACAGTATGACATTAAACAGCTCTACCTTACTTTATTTTTAAATTACAGGTGGTTTTATAGCTAAAAAATACCTAGAAAAACAGGCATTCTGACTGTGAGCAGGGTTGACTCTCCACTGACCCGTAACTTTAATCTGGTTTGGTCTCCATGAAGATAGATAGATTTAATATCATACTGTGAAACATTCCAGACAACACAATCACAATCTCAATTTACAGGCCCTCTACCAAAAAAGTTACACAATGCACTAGGGATTTAACAATAACCGAAATATTGTGATATTGTATCGTCAAAAGTCTCACAATAATATCATGGGCTGTCACAATATATATCGAATTACAAGTTCCTTTCGCTTATATGCATTGTTTTATAGTAGCAACAGCTTATAAACATAGGGAACTACATATCCCATGATTCATTTCAGTGCAAACAACATGAAGAAATCAGTTTTTTACTTGAATTCTTGGGATTATGATGGAAATAATTCACACCAAAATCTTGTCAAGGTATTTTAAAAGCAAAAAAGTGTCTCATCTACAATTATATCAGCCTCTCCAAAATATCGCAAGAAATATCAACATGTAAGATGCATATCGTGATAACATCGTATTGAGAGATGATGGATATCGTTACGCCCGACAATGCACCTTAAAGTAAGCGAATAGATTTTTGTCTTTCTTCCCTCCTGGGTTGTTGTGGACTCCTAAATTGTTGTTTTCCTGTGAATGAACACTTAATTCCCCTGTGCCTCTGTATAAGCACTGCCTCGGGCCTCCTCATTTGCATTAAGCGCAGTTGTCTTAACAAAGCCGTGTTTGTGGCCGGACCCCCGCGCACGCTTCCCCTAAGTGCTCCTGTCACTCCGCGTTTTCTTCAGACGGTTTGAAGTCTTTGTCACTTTTTAGGTTTAAGTTCATTGTCTGGGGACGAACACTGATCAGCACCGACTTTGCATTGTTCACCATAAGAATGACTCTTTATTGTTCTATGGGAAACAATCAAATCTCATTGTACGTTCACTCTCACTATTGTAGTAATGCGGGTAGTAACACCATAGATAGGTCATTATTGTTTGACTCCACATAACTATAAGTAATGTACAGATTTTTCCACTTAAATATACTGTAAATGAAAAAGGTGCACTATGTAACTTTTTGGTTGGAGATCCGTCACTTTCTAGTTTCTATGGAGATGTGACTGTAGGGCCTCTCCACAGATCTGGCCAGTAACTTGGTCTGGTTTGGTCTCCATGAATATAGAAAGGTTTAATACCACACTGTGAAACATTCCAAACAAAGCAATAACATCTCCATGGACACAAACTTTTCACGGATTCTCCACCTGAAAAGGCACACAATTCACCTTTTAAGGATTCCTTTTGGTCCATTAAAACAGGGACAGCCAAATGTTATTATTTAAATTTTATTTCTTGTGCTGTTTAAGAGAAAAGATTTGCTTTCTTCCAACTATAGACAGTCTATTCATTGCACTCTCCCCCAAAATACAACCTCTGCTCAAAACCATTTATTACCACCGTTGATTATGAAATGATTAGTAATTACGTGAAATGGCTTAATTGCACATTCCTGTTTTTAACCTGGTGCATTTAAATAGTTATCTAATGAAAAGAAAAGTGGAGCTTTATAACCAAACTAAAAGTACACGTGCTTTTTGTGAAGAGAGTGGCATAAGGTGACAAATCTGAGCTGAATATGTATCTTTAATTAATAATTTATTCCGTTAATCAGCGTGTTAATGTTATGTAAATGACGTGAAAGCTGCATCATCTTTAACCTTTGAAATGAAGTGAACTGTGTGTTATTGCCAATGGGATCAAACATAATAGGAGCTGTGTTCCCACTCTGATTTTCTTATGTAAAACACAGCAGGCCACTGAAGCAGATAGTCTCCAGGCATTTTCAAATGGGGCACTGACTGCTCTTGATTCAGGCCTTATGCAACCACACCAACATCTTACTATTGTGCGAACTGCATTTACTGATTCAGGTTTTGACTTTTTATTTTCACTGATATGGATTTTATACCAAATATTTTAGTTTGAACAGCAGATAAAGGTTGGATGACAAACCCTAACCTATAAGTTTCAATTTCCTATTATGTACAGCCCTATGAAGACTTTTCTCCATTCAAAAGATATAATATTTTGTAAAAAAAAAAATTGTTCATCACTATGGTAACAGTCCTAATTTTTCATCATTCTGGATCCATGGAGAGCTTCCTGATAAATGATTTTCATGCTTTTGATCTACATCCTTTAATCAACCTGTTAGGAGCAGATAGGGTTTTTGAACAAAGACCCTAGCCTGGGCCCAAAGCTCAATTTAATTTCTCTCCAGCAACTAGATCAGGAATTGGAATACACTAGACGGTTCGCAAAAACCCCAGAAGCGCAAGTTCGGGCACCAGCCAATCAGCAACGAGCCATACGTTCTGTGTTAACGACGATTCCCGAGATCGAGGATTTAAAACTGGAACAAAGAGAATGTTCTGTGAATTTTATCAGAGGGAAAGACGTTATTGTTCTTCTTCCTTACAGAATTTGGGAAAAGCTTAATATACCAGTTAGCCCCATTAGCAAATAGCAGTGATTGGTTAAATAAAAAAAGTACCTGCCTACCGTCAAGTGTATGAATCCTAATGCTGCGAGGTCAGACGGTTTCTACAAAGTGAAACCAGCTGATAAATCAGGCTAATAGAGCATAGGATTGGTGTGTTTTGTATTATATAGGGATGCACTGATACAATGCTGCTATCTGATATCCGGTGAAGATATTGAACATTTTTGATGAATCAGATATTGGCTTCAGGATATCGGCTCAGTCATTATCACATTTTGGTATATAAATTGGTGTAATATTAAGATTTACTGGTCAGTGTTGGTCCAAAAATACCTCATAATATTGAACTTGTATTTTTTCAAAGCTGTTCTAGTTACTTAAGATGATGAATAACAGTTACAAAACATATTTGCATAATTTCTTACCATACGCTGTTTGTATGTAAAGAAATAAGTAATCTCATTAGTTTATGCCTTGTTGTCAGTTCAACAGTGGGGAAATGTAACGAAGTAAAAGTAGTAAAGTATTTTACTGAAAAGGCTGAAGGTTTATTTTTAATACATGCATACTTTAAGTAAAATATACAAATGAAAACACCTTGGAAAAAAATATTAATACAATTGTTTCTGTTCTGATACAAATCTGTATCAAAATCACTATATATGAAGCTTTATTAGATCAAAAAAATTGTGCATAATACTTTTACTTTTTACTCTTTCGGTTCATTTTTAAACTGGTACTTTCATACTTTTACTAAAGTAAATAGTTTAAGGCACCCTCTGGATATCGGGGCATCAGCAGATACTTAGAGCCAGAGTATCGACATCAGTATTGGAACAGAAAAAGCTGTATCTGTGCATCCCTCCCCTCAATAATGTGTAACCTTTACCTTTAGAATTATTTTAATAATTGATGCTTATTCAGATCATTAGTAGAGGTTAAATGTATCTGACTCTATGCTGATGATACATAACTGTTATGAGTACAGTTATATGGAGCAGATGGAGAGATGGAGACACAGCAGGGAGTCCGTACATCAGCTGTCACTACTGACGTCCAAAACACTGTTCCACATGCCTTCAAAATGCAAAAATCACCTCCTCAAATTACCCTGAAATACCCGTTTTATCAAAGGGACTATACCTGTTATTATTTGATTAAAAACAGAATACACTGGATGGTAAACCTTTTTAAACCTGGTGTTAAATTTGTGTAAAATTTGCCTGTAGTGGTCAGTAGAAGCAGGGGTTCACATGTATTGCTTGAGTGAAGATTTGCGTTTGTGATTTTGGCCTTTTCTGGGTGAAATTGATTTAATTTAAATCAATATCTGCATAGCTTTGGGTATTATGTTGAGAATTCTGTGTAAGAAGTGTATGAAAATGGAACTGTAAATGTCTTAGTTGAGATTTTGAGAGATGATTTTAAGAGATGCTTTTACAATATATCTGTACTGGGGCTGAACAAATTTTACTTTATTGCATGAAAAAATTAATTACAGCCACCTTTTTAAATACAAAAAAAGCAGATATTTCAGGTTGTATCCTATTTGGAATGATAAAACCTACAGCTTTTTGTTAGTTAGTGTATTGTTGGTAATGAAAAACTAAATCTAATTTTGCTAAAACCACATTCATCCACTTCTTTGCTTTTGAATTTGTGTGTTTGATAATCTGCTTGCAACAACTGCCTCTTGCCTCAGTCGTAATGGTCTGACCTAATATAAAAACAATATTATAGCTAGTTGCATTTCTTTCCACTCACATGTTTTATTCATGCCTCCACAGCTCAGGGACTTGTGTGTGTAAAACCGGAGTGTATGGCCCCAAATGTGACGACTGCCACCCTGGATTCTTCCACTTCAGCAGTACAGGCTGTAGACCGTGTCAGTGCAACAATCACACCAGCAACTGCCACCCCCAGTCCGGTGAGTCCACTATGACTACATGACTACAGTATACACATACCACCTGTATTCTTACACCACATAAATGCAGCTAAGCACTCTCACCTCACAGCTAGAAGATTCCAAGTTTGATTCCTGAGCTAAGTGGGCTATTTTTTTTCTTGTCTTGTCCTTACTGTGTTTCTTTTGATACTTGGAGTCTCCATCCATCCAACATCTTAACAGTACATACAAGGACTGAGCGATATGGCGCATAAAAATATATCTTGATTTATTTTGCTATATCTTGATATACATTACATATCTCGAAATCTGTAGAGGAAAAAATAACCCCCCCAAAAACAAATATGCCAAATTCCACAAGGTCTTTTTTTTTAATCAAAGTGCAAAGAGGCAGTTCATGTGGGAACAAAGTGGTTCTGCGACATTTACAAAAAAAAAAATATCCCTGTATACAAAAATAATAATTTAACTGTAAAATAAATGAAAGAATAATGCATACTGCTTTCTTTTCATTCAAAAATAAAACAACTTAATTCAAGCTCATCTTTGCATTAACTCTGCTAAAGGAGCTCATGGTTATGGTTATCGTGTGGTTAACAGAGGGGGGTTTCTTATTTAAATAGATTCATGTTCCTAACCAGCGGTAAGGAGCTATGAAGTATCCTACAATCCACTGCACAGATCAAACCGAACACTTCCATATACTGTTGTACAAGTTCTACTCTGCAACAGATTATTAATTAGAATCTGGATAAATAAACTTTACATTACTA